CCCTCCACACAACACAGTCCATGGCATTTTGTTCCCAGTCAACCTCAATATGTGTATCATTCATGTCCTGCTTGCACACATCTTTATATCATAGTAGAGGTCGGCCTCGACATCATATACCCATCTTTAATTCTCCATAAAGGATGTCTCTGCCATCCTCTTTTCTTCAGGTGTTCCCAGCCACCTGAACCTTCTTAGACTGAGCATTGAGATGCTGTATGCTTGAAGTTTTCCCAGTCTTGCAGTCAGGCTTTGTTATGGTGAATTCTTTTCCTCTTGTGCTTTGTACTGTGAAATCTCTGGGACTAAAAATTAACAAAGTAACTGTTAAACCTGAATGTTACTTTAACGCTTTCAGTCCCGGCTGGTTGTTACTTTAACCCTTTATATTCCAAGATGTCGAGCATTAAAGCAATAAATAGGTCAGAAGTTCACAAGGTTAACGGTGGGACATAAGTAGTTAAACTAATCATTTGCATGCAAGGGGTTCATATAATATCTGTAATAAAAGACAGCAAGAGTATCACTTTATTGTTCTGATAAACAAGGAACATATTTTGAGTTGATTAGTACTTTGAGTTGATAAACTCAGCCATGACATCCAATGCATTTTATGTCAGCAGATGTCATGTCCTCAGTCGAGAAATCACTGATTGATTCCACGGATAAGATCACTGGTGTTTTTGAATCTGAGTTTGGTGTGAAGAAAGCAAGTTTGGATTTTGAGTATAGCACCCATAATACATCAGAGATGAACAGGAAAGGATTATCAGCCAGTGAAGGTAACTGTTGAGATTTTTGTATTAGTAAGCCTAAATAATTTGCAATCATCAAGTCTGTTGAATCTTACAACACAGGTGGAGGTAGTTCTCATAAATTTTACAGGATTTAGGGATTGAACATGTGGTGTTATAGGACTATGGTGATGGTGAACTTGTTTTAAAAAAAAAAACAGTCTTGTTGGTATGGTAATAGGGCTTATAAGGCAAGCTCAACCCCATTTTGGGTGACATCAAAAATATATCCACTGTCTCCCCCCCCCCTCCCCCTTCTCCACCACAAGACATAACAAGCATATTGTAAGAGGTAACTAATTAAGGTTTGGTTCCTTCCAGGCCAGTGTGCGTCTGCCTGAGAGGGAAGGAATAACAATCTGCATTAAAAAAAAGCTAGATCTGTAAAAGAGATGTGCATGCACAACTCAAGTTCTGGAATGACACTCAAGTCCAGAAGTGGGCAAACAACGAGAACCAGAGTTTACAGCCAGTGGGTATGAAGAAGAAAAAAAATGCAAGCAAAGAAAAGAAAGTATGTTTTTAGAGTAGATTAATTAGGGGTTTCCTATAAAGTCGGATTGCATCTGCCTGAGAGGCAAGGAACCAACATTTTCCATACAGAAAAGCTGGATTTGTGAAATGGATGTGCATGCATAATTCAAGCTCTGGAACAAGCCTAAATTTCAGAAGTAGATAAACAACCAGAACTTTCCGCTGTACTTTACAGCCGGTGACAAAGGGTAAGAAAAAGGTTGTATGTCAGGATTGTAAAAAAAATCCTATCAGGACCCTTAACTCACAGATGTTGACTTGATGTAAATAAGCACAGGATGAATACTGTCCAAAGAATATTGAAATAAATATATACTGTCCAAAGAATATTGAAATAAATATATACTGTCCAAAGAATATTGAAATAAATATATACTGTCCAAAGAATATTGAAATAAATATATACTGTCCAAAGAATATTGAAATAAATATATACTGTCCAAAGAATATTGAAATAAATATATACTGTCCAAAGAATATTGAAATAAATATATAATGTCCAAAGAATATTGAAATAAATATATACTGTCCAAAGAATATTGAAATATATATACTGTTCAAAGAATATTGAAATAAATATATACTGTTCCAAGAATATTGAAATATATATACTGTCCAAAGAATATTGAAATATATATACTGTTCAAAGAATATTGAAATAAATATATACTGTTCAAAGAATATTGAAATAAATATATACTGTCCAAAGAATATTGAAATATATATACTGTTCAAAGAATACCAAAATAAATATACATTGAAATATTGGGCTACTGAAGTTGATTTTATGTGTGATTTCTAGATGTCTCATTGAGTGTTCTGCTTGTCTTAATCATAAAGTTTTGTCAACATCTCATTTATTCTTCTAATGATGGTTGGCACATTGCATTATGGTTTTTTCATTGAGATAGAAAGAATGGCACTGAGCAAACAAATATTCTTGTATAGGCAGAAAGGATCAAAGTAAGTATCTGTCATTCGTTGTTACAAAATTTTTTTTTCTTTTTATATTGTGTGTTTTAACTATCAATTCCAAGCATGCTACTTTAAATCATCTGTCCCCAGATGATGAGCTTAAAAGAAATAAATTCTCAGGTCGGATGGAGTTTAACAGAAACACCAATGAACAGAAGTAGTTAAAACTAATAATTCAGACACGTATATCTGTTATAGAAGAGAGCAGTGACATGTAAAACAGAACCCTTTTCCATGCCATTAGGTACTCTGTGGGTTATGTGGCCAACATCATTCTGGGTCACCTTTACTTCCCATGACTTTTTTTAAGGTGGGGTTGACATTGGAGCCAAGGTCATGTTTGGAAAAAAAATATTGGGCACCATGTAGATTTGAACCCATGACCTTCTGGCCTGAGGTGAGCATCTAGCCACTACACAGCGGCAGCTCCCTTCTTCAACATGATCAAGACAGATATAGGGAGTTGTTTTGCTACTGAAAGGGTTACATTATGAATCAGAACATTTCTTTATTTTAAAAATGCGAAAGATAGTTTGCCGTATCTGAGTTTAACATATTTGAGTAGTTTTTCAGTTGACTGGAAATTGTTATGGAATGTAGCACATACATTGGCTGTTCTGACTTTGAGACATTGAGTTTATGTTTTGTGTATTTTACAATTGCAGAACCCGTTGAGCGTAAGTGGTGGTGATACTTTTATATTTCATGTTGCCCTTTGTCAACCATCAGTGTGATTTTGTCTATTGACTAAATCTTTACTGTTAGTTATTAGTTGCTGTTTTTAACATTACGATATTGCTTGCTTTGTCTGCAATGAATTGTTGATGTTAATTAACATAAATCTCTGCACTTATTGTTGGCTATAACCTCCTCAGATATAAATCACTGTGAATACTGTATATATTGTATATAAATTACTACTGATACTGTAGATATTATATATAAATTACCAAGTTAGGCCTGTGGGCCTAATCCGGTATTGATGTTTTATAGTGAGTTACTGTAGCATGGATGTACTTCATAAATTCAAACAGTTTCTGCATATATTTATGTGGTCTAACTGATATAATAGAATACCAGAAATGTATACTTAAAAAAAAAAAACTCAGATTACATTTCATTTCTAGTGGAAGTCAGTAACATACATATTAATATTAATTGTTGCTCTCACACAAATAACATGTTGTGTGAGGTCGGTTGTTTATATTTCTAATCACTGCTCCATGTGTGATTGCTTGTCTTATATTTAGTCTGCTTACTGCTTAATATAACAAAGCTTAGGATATAATACATCTAGTTTGAGAATGGAGGTGGAGGCAGACACAACAGTTTTTCGCTGGCTAGAGAACTGGCTGCTCATGCATCTTGTGATTGTAACAGACTCACAAGGCATGCTCTGTTCAAGGTGGCAAAAATAACTGAAGAGGTCCCTGGTAGTTAGTGTCCTTTGGATATTTCCTCCAATGTATGCAGGTGTGGTGGGAAATGAACGGTCAGACAGATTTGCTGGAGCAAGTAAACAATGCAAAAGAGTCACTAGATCATTATGGTGGGGGAGGGGAGGTGGCTGGACCGACTGAGGGGATCCAGTTGACACTCTTAATTAACTCTTTGAGTACCAGGGGGTTTAGCATCACAGGCCCCGTGGGTAGTAAAGAAATTTTAAAAATCGGCGCATCATGCGTTCATTGGGCTTCTAGGTAGGAACTTATGAATGTATGATGCGTTCCTTGGGACTCAAAGAGTTAAGAGGAAAGGCAAAGTGGACATATAATTAAACAGGTATTGGTACTGTCAGAATAAGAACCCTTTGTTGGCTGTTAAAGATGGTGACATGGTGCGTATGAGAATTTCCAAGTGCTGTGATGTCATTTGACTCCATTTAACTTGGTCTAACTGCATATTTTCTCTGTATGGTTAGTTTTTATTGGTCCATGTGAAAGTAATGCTCTAAAGTGTTTTTTCTCTAATAATCTCCAAAATGTAGTTTTTCACTTACAATTTTATGCCAGTTGTCATGACAGCATGTTACATATATATCATTTCAATGTGAATATTCTTTTCTCTGTGTGGTTTCTGGGACCCCATTGTGGGGAAAACAGGAATAGACCCACTGCCTCTGTTGTATGAGTCGACTAGTTAGGGGTTTCCCTGGAAGTCAGAGTATATCTGCTTGAACAGCAAGAAATAAACAGTCTGCATATAAATAAGTCATATCTGTAAAACAGATTTGCACTCAGGTTCTGGAACAAGTCTAAAATCCTGAGGTGGACGAACAACCAGAATTTTCTGCCAGAGTTTACAGCCGGTGAAGGGAAGAATATTCTTTACAGGATACTGTGGTTACCTCACCACTCTTCAAATAAAAAAATTACAGAAGCATTGTATTTTTCCTTTGTGAGCTCAAAGATCTGCTTCTTTTTCTATTTTCTCTCATAAAAGGGCTGTTGGCATGTTATGAGATCTACAGCTAGTTTGTAAAATCTGCACGTTGTGGTCCGAGGCTCTGATTCTGCAGATCCCTAATTATTCACCTTTTACAGTTGGTTCCTGGACTTAGTGGGTTCATTTGCTGTAAGCTGTTCAGGGTATGACGAGTCTGGCATTTTGCTACCAAAGCTAGTCTAAATGTGGATAATATTGCCATCAAATGACACCATTAGCAACTCCCAAATACAATTTTCATCATATCCCTCCCAATACAAAACTTACCGAAATTCCTGCATGCTTATACGCATTTTAACTTTGTTATTTTTGTTTTTATTTTAACTATTCACAGAATTTATTTGGTGGACTATTTTAAGAATTATTTAACACATTAACTACATTGCAAGAAATGTTGTGGCAGATTTAGTATTTATGTTCACATTTTTCAACAATACATATGTCAAAAGTTTAGCTTTAGATTTACGTGCAAATCTTGTAATTGTTATATTAAAGTAAAATATATCTGTATTGTTTTATTAACCAAATATTAACAGTTTTAACAATTTTTTGTGCTTTTTCTCTAATAATCTCTACAATTTAGTTTTCATGAACAATTTTATGCGTTGTAAGGACAATTGTGCTGCTTAAAATTGTAGAATAGAACACACTGGGTTTGGTGGTTTCATCTATTTGTTTCCCTTGATGTGTCATCTTGATGACATATCTAACTGACTTTCTACCCCACTAGGACATCACACAAGCGATAAACACCCGATGACACAAAGTGCCACCATGCGGATGAGGATCGCCATGGAGAGGTCCCAGAAACCGCGTTCAGACATTTGGCCATATGTATGGCCTGCCTATATTGCGGCCCCTGGCAAAAGCCAGAGTAGGGCTTCAAATGACAAAAAATTTCGTCCTGAAAAGGACGGCACTGGGTATATACCCCAATTTTGTCATGGGCTGGTTGTGCTGGCCACAATATTTGAGATATTTTTAGAACATATAATTATAATAATTTATTCACTGGGAGTTTGAAATAGCCCAGTTTAAACGGAGATTTAAAAAAAAAAAAACAAGCTTATAGTTCCTTTGTATTTATGTGCCCTTATATTGACATTTACTGTTGTTTTTGTAAGTTAATAAAGCTATTTGAATGCAACATTGTCAGAAGTTTGGCTATGTGACTGCACTTAGTGGTAATCTTGTGAAATCATTGTTGTGGTGTCTTTTTTAGTTATCTTGTTCAGATACAAATGTACAGTGAGCATGACTGAGAAATAAAATAATTGTTACTTTGTAATGTTAAAAAAAAAAGAAAGTTGCTGAAGGAAATTATAAAGATGTATGTGAAATGTTTAGGCTAAATTAAAAGAAATAACACTCTTAAAGAAATCATACTAGAAGGGTACATCGAAGACAAGCAAGCAAGAGGTAGGCAGTGAGACAAATGGGAAGATAACCGCTAGAGATGGATGAACAGCAGTCTCAGAAGGTGTGAATCCATGGCAAAAGACAGTGTGTTGGGGTACAAGTAACGAATGTCACCCCATTTTGTCAACTGCAATTTATGTCGTGGCCATTTCAACAGGCTGTCCTATGTTGTGGGGGTGTTATGAGATGCCTTTGCTCACCACATGTGATGTTTGTGGAAGGCTTTGTTTTTATGAGTCTGTTTAAGGTACCACAGGTGCCTGTGAACATGCAAGAAGTACTGCAGAGCAAAGCGTCATGTGATGCTTTTGCATTTCTATGTTCCTTTGCGGTGGCTTCCACTCAGAAAAATGTGTCACTGCCAATGAACAGAGAGTTACTAAAAACATCCCAGTTTTGATACTCACGAACCATCCCACAAGTAGCACAACATGCAGAAAATCACGCAGTTGAGTAGTGACAACACAAGAAAACAAATAACGGTTAAACCCTTGAAAACAAAGAATGCCTGACACACCCACAACAAGTGACAGCACATGGGAAAAGCCAGAAAATGAATGGGAGCGACACAAAATCTAGTGCCCGATAAGATGGGATGACACTCGTGACTTGTGCTTGTGTTGGGAGTTCCAATGCTGCTAGTCGTCCCAGTGGAGACAGCGTTTGATTCACCCAGTTAATGTTGCATCTTTATGTGATTTGTGAGCAGCTTTTGCTTGCATGTTTTATACTGACGTTCTTTAACCTTTTCATCCCATAATCTTAAAAAATGACTTTTGACCCTTTTACAAATTGAATTTAAAATAATCTGCCACGAGAAACTAAAAAAGAAAATAGAACTAATTTTGGTTTTTTGTAAATTTATATATAAATGTCAGGAAGAGGGGGTCCAAACCCTAGACAGACAGGCAGGCACAGAGTGCTCTGCTTCTTTTATGATGTTGTCACATTTTTAAATATAATCAAAAATGTTTCAGCCACTAAATGCCTTTTTAAGGATAAGGTTATATGTGTGTGTGTGTGTATGTATATATATATATATATATATATATATATATATATATATTGTAAAAATACCTCATGTGTGTGTGTGTGTATACATATATATATATATGGAGCAAAAATTTTTTCCACATATAGCAATGTGATGGCAATATTTGTATACACTTTAATAATTAGGTACACATTCACAGTGCAGCTAACATGATACACATTCACAGTTTAGCAAAAGGGGTGCTGATTCATAATTTAGTTGACAATGTGCACATGCACAGTGTAGCTATAGGAGTGCAGATTCACAATTTAGTTAACAAGGTGCACAGTGTAGCTAATGGGGTGCAAGTTTACAATTTAGTTAACAAGGTGCACATGCACAGTGTAGCTAATGGGGTGCACATTTACAATTTAGTTAACAAGGTGCACATGCATAGTGTAGCTAAAGGGGTGAAAATTCACAATTTAGTTAACAAGATGCACATGCACAGTGTAGCTAAAGCGGGGCATTTTCACAATTTAGTTAACAAGGTGCAGAGTATAGCTAATGGGGTGCACATTTACAACTTAGTTAACAAGGTGAACATGCACAGTGTAGCTAATGGGGTGCAAATTCACAATTTAGTTAACAAGGTGAACATGCATAGTGTAGCTTAATGCGTAACATATTCACAATTTAGCTAACGAGATGCACATTCACAGTGAAGCTAATGAGGGTGTACATTCACAGTGTAGCTTAGCTTATGTGGTGCATGGTCACAGTGTAGCTTAGCTTATGTGGTGCATGGTCACAGTGTAGCTTACGTGGTGCATGGTCACAAAGTAACTAAAGAGTGCACATTTATAATGTAGCTTGTTCTGGGAATTTATTAATTAATTTGTTAAAATTAAATCTTCAGGCTAACACACATGCACATAAACAAGCAAAATCAAACTTTTTACAGCAGACTTTCAGAAATAACTGTGAAACTAACTTGTTACATTTACTGTTACTGTTTCTAGAACCTCAGCCTGCAGCGGTTCAGAAAACGCCAGAGAGCCTGAAGTACATCAGCCTTGTGCTTCTAACACTACAGAATGCTCTGCTTATCCTGGTTATGCGATATGTCAGGACGAGAGAGGGAGACATGTTCATTGCGACCACAGCTGTAATTATGTCGGAGGTCTTCAAATGTGGTGCTTGTCTCGTCATAATCTTAATTCAGGTATGTTATTTTGATTATTTTCATATTACATCATTTATTTACCCTAAATAGCTAAATTTATTCCCTTGTAATGGCATCCTGTCCCAAGGTAGTTTAGGCATGGTAAAAATCAAGATGCCCTGGAGAGAATGGTCATGGATGGTAAAGTTTCAGGAAAAGAAGGCAGAGGCAGACCTCAAAAATTGTGGATAGAAGACATTGAAGACTAAATAGCTAAATTTATTTCCTTGTAATGGCATCCTGTCCCAAGGTAGTTTGGGCATGGTAAACATCAAGGTGCCCTGGAAAGAATGGTAATGGATGGTACAGTTTCAGGAAAAGGAGGCAGAGGCAGACCTCAAAGAAAGTGAATAAAAGACATTGAAGACGCATTGGTTATGGTAGCACATAGGGCTGGAGAATTGTCTAGAGAGAGATAGACTATCAGGTATACTGTGACGAGGGTCAGCATTCCGTAAAGAACCAGCTCATTGATGATGATCATCACCTGTTAGCATTTAACTTTTTTCAGTCCCAAGGAATGCATCTTACTTTAATAGATTCCTACCTAGAGGCCCAAGGAACGCAAGATGTACTAATTTTGGGTTTCTTTGTGCTATCCTTTAAATCAGCAGACAGACAGACAGGTCAGCTCTGCACCACTTGGTGGTGAACTGATGATGTATGACAAGCTGGATGTTGTGAGGGCCCTTTGGGAGTGAGTGAAAAATGCAGAGGAACAGATCGATCATTGCAGTCTGAGGAGAATGGCACTGTAAGGAGTTACAAGGGGATCTGGGAAAGGCGAGACAGATATACAATCAGACAGTTACTGGTATCATCGCAATTTTGACTCCTCGCTTGCTGCTGAAGATGGGGACGGAACATTGTGCTATCCCTTATACCTCTGATGCTGAAACCCCGGGACTGAAAGAGTTAAATCTTCCTTTGCCTTTGTGCTGTGTCATGCTGTTGTCTAATGGCTTGAGTTAGAGATCAGCTGACAGATAGTTGTAAGTCATGGTCTCATGTGGACAGGAACAGTTTCTGGTCCAGTGCTTGATGGGTAACCCCGGCTTTTGTATTCCATGTGGGTGTGGAATAAGTGTCTATGCCCTCTTGCTTTCACATCATATCTTTTTAGGAGACACCCCTGTTTTGGTAGTAAGAATATAGATATGGTGCTATGTGCCAGATACATGAAAGGCTTAAAAAGTAGTTGTTACTTTACTTACTAACTGTGACAATCATGGCAGGGAAGAAGACTTGTGTCAGAAATTATGGACAGTGAGTACAAAAGGCTGTGGACTGACATGATGCCCAGCACCATATGGTGTAAACTAAAGAAGAAACTGCCGACCCAACCCTAGCAGTGTTTTCCTGTTTATTTTTACTAGGCAATTTGAAAAAAAAGAATCTGTACATTGTTGTTAGTTGACTGGAGTTAATTTAGTTTTTGTGTGCTTCATTATATGTTGGTGTAACTTTTTAATGATCTGATACATGGAAAGGTGGGGAGGAGGAGAGTCTTATACCCAGGAACTGTGGTACTCTTTATTTGTAACCAAACACTTTCCAGTGATCACCTTGTCCTCTTGTACGACACCTTGGTCTTAAATTCAAATCAAAAAGTGACTTGTTATGATTGCCAGAGACTGCATTACTTATGTGTTAATCGTACTTACTATGATTGCTATACCAGGAGGGAAGCGTGAGGAAGTGGCTTCATCTTCTGTATGCAGACATAATTCTGGAACCCATAGATTGTGTCAAGGTGTCAGTTCCCTCACTCACCTATGTTCTTCAAAATAACCTACTGTATATAGCTGTGTCAAATCTGGATGCTGCCACTTTTCAGGTAAGATTTTAATTGGTTAATGCAGGACCATCTGCACTTCAGTGTTTGTATCTTGTAGATTACCAGAATATGGCTTCTAGGAGTTGTTGAATGAGGAAAAGAACTGAGAATCCTAGTAACCTTTCACCCCTGAATGCTAAACAAAAAAGGGGGTGGGGAGCGCATGAACCCCTCTAAATTGTCAAAAACATCCCTCAAATAATTTTACACAGGCCACTAATAAATACATAAATAAACAATTATTTATCTACAGTTTAGAATTGTTTTCTTCCAAAATGTATAAAATATATAAAAGGGGGTAATCAATAAACACATGGAATACATTTCCAAGGCCCAGATAATGATGTGTATTAGGTGACTCATGCTGTTACCTCAATCACTGAGGCTTACAGGAAAATTTGACATCAGCTTGACTTTAGAGAAGCCACTAGGGTCATAAGAAAACTTCTTTACTTGCTTTTTTAAGTTAATATATAATCATGTCCGGGTCTATTAAACACCTTACACTTGCACACAAGATTTATGGGACTGTGTCACAGTTGGAAGTAACTAAGTTTAGCCTTGAGGTTATTGATATGATTAATTGCTGTAAAGAATAGTTTCTTCTTGTGTTGTACTTTTTTTTTTTTTTTTTTACAAATTCTCTTCCAATTAATACAATGATTAAGGTTTCCTCTTCTTATAGTGTGGCCGCGTCCGTGGCTTAGGCATTGCGAGTCCGACTTGTAACTCCAATGTACCGCGATCAAAAACCCACTGCTGGCTGCGTGGATTTTTATCATGGTTTGGGGCATCGCAGGTCACCCAGCCTTAAATGGGTACCAGGATGATGCCCTGGGGAAGTAAAGGTGGCCGGCGTAATGCTGACCACCTTACCCACCTAGTGCAGATGGTCTGTAGAAATATGGGTGCTTTTATGCCTAATTCATAAAAAAGGGATCTTTACTTTACTTTCTTATAGTATGGTAAAATGTTGACTATTTTTAATGTTCATTGTTTTCATATAAAATATATATATTTTTTACCTTATGATTTGTGAGTCACTGTAGAGATCTTCGTGTGGAAGCCATAATAGCATAATGGCTGGACACTCACATCACCCATTAAGTACAGATTGCTGGACCTTTGCAGAATGCTGTTCCTTCACTGCCATCCAGAAAGCCTCTCAAACCTTTGATAATTCACCTGCTTTGTTATTTTAAATATAAAAACGTCTACACTTATATGCCTGATGCCCTAGTGGCATAAAAAGTGTCCTTTCCTTACTGTGATATCTCCATATCTACAGGTTACTTACTGTTAAATCTCCATATCTACAGGTTACTTACTGTTAAATCTCCATATCTACAGGTTACTTACTGTTATATCTCCATATCTACAGGTTACTTACTGTGATATCTCCATATCTACAGGTTACTTACTGTTATATCTCCATATCTACAGGTTACTTACTGTGATATCTCCATATCTACAGGTTACTTACTGTTAAATCTCCATATCTACAGGTTACTTACTGTTAAATCTCCATATCTACAGGTTACTTACTGTTATATCTCCATATCTACAGGTTACTTACTGTGATATCTCCATATCTACAGGTTACTTACTGTGATATCTCCATATCTACAGGTTACTTACCAGCTGAAGATTTTGACCACTGCCATCTTTTCTGTGCTGATGCTGAAGAAAGTCCTGAGCAAGCTGCAGTGGATATCTTTAGTTATTTTATTTGTAGGCGTGGCCGTTGTTCAGATGCAGCCAGAGGCTTCCGGCAAGGCGGCACTCGCTGTGGAACAAAGCCCTGTCAAAGGCCTAGTTGCTGTTATAATTTCATGTTTCATGTCCGGATTTGCCGGTGTTTACTTTGAAAAAATTCTAAAAGGCACCAGGCAGTCGGTGTGGCTGAGGAATGTCCAACTTGGGTTCCTAGGAGTTATTATTGGAATCATCACAATGTACATTAATGATGGAGCCAAGGTGCAGGCAAAGGGGTTCTTCGTTGGCTATGATGGGGTAGTCTGGTTTGTTGTTTGTCTGCAATCATTTGGTGGTCTTCTTGTTGCTGTTGTAGTAAAATACGCTGATAATATACTCAAAGGTTTTGCTACATCTGCAGCGATTATCGTGTCCTGCATTGCTTCCATGTATTTCTTTGACTTCCATCTTTCTATACAGTTCACAGTCGGTGCTTTCTTGGTAATAATTGCAGTTTATATATATAGCAAATATGTACCTATCCAAACACCATCATTGACAATTGTGGTTTCAAGAAAAGTTTAAGTCTCCAGACTTATAGTATTGTAACAATGACTGTTGCTCAGCTTTCTTGTCTTCTGTATTATACTAATTTTCTTGTTTGAAATTTTATCATGTTATTGTTTCATTTCAGGTCCTTCTGCCTGAAAAGAGATGTTAGTTTTATAAATGTGTCACTGTCATAAATTTAGCCTTTTTATTTTTGACATCCGTTAAACTTACTTTTGAGAAATTGAATGTCAACCTGTAACCACACCCACAAAGAGGTTTAATCATCACCATTTAGCTAGTTCTTTTGCAGATCAACACTGCCATGTTTGGCCAAAAAAATAGCCACAAGGTTCCTAATTTTTGATTGTGGAAATTTATAATGTGGAATCAAAAACACACAGAAATGTCGGTTTAACTCTTTTTTATCATCACAGGCCCAGGGGCTAGTAAAGAAAGTCATAAAATCGGTGCATAATCTGTTAATTGGGCTTCTAGGTAGGCACCTATGAACGTATAATGCGTTCCTTGGGACTCAAAGAGTTCATAGAGTTTCCTGCATTCACTGGTTTTAGTTGCCATGTTAGGATCCCCTGCCAAAAGACTGACCAAAAAGCCACACTTTCCCTTGTTAATTTTAGATTGTGGACATTTGGAGTGTTGAATTAAAAAGAAAATGTAAAATATAAGCTTGAAGAAAGTTTCCAGCTATTTGTTACAGAAGGTTCCAGCATCACTGCAGACTGGGTGCTCCATAACTGCTCCGTTCCTGTGCCAGTAGAAATCGCACACAATGTCCTGTGTGGTCCCATTGCTTCTTCTTCTTCTTTGTTCACCAGCGGAAAGTCCTGGTTGTTTCGTCCATTTATACTTTGGCTTTGTGCCAGAGTTTTGCACTGTACATCCGTTTTGCTGGCTTATTTGTGTGCAGTTGGTTGTTTCTTGTTTCAAAAGGGGCTCCTAGTTAGTCGACTCCTATGGTGTGCTTCTTGGGGTTGAGAAAACCCGATATTATAACTAGAATGTCTTTGTACTGAAATTTAAAAAATTCCCATTAAACTTTTACAATCCATAAACTAAATTCCCTTCACTTTTCCATCACCCAGTGATATTTTTTATGTAACATATTTCTTTTCTAAGTTAGGTTGTTAAAATTAATTATACCACCATTAAGTAATGATAATTCTTATCCTGCTTAGTTATGTTTTCTTTTGTATATAAGAATATATTTGTTTCAACATGTTGCTTATTCATAATTAATATGCGTAAGACACTTAATTAGTCTTAAATATTTGATGTTGTTTGCCTTATAAATATTGTACATTTGGTGGGAATTATTTTATAATCCAGGGAGGCATTGCATTTTTAAATTAATTTATGGTTTTGATGTATTAACAGAACATGTACCTACAGTGCCTATTGGGAGAGAAAAATTGGTGTTTCTGTTAGTATTTTAATTGTTTAAGATTTCTGCTTGCCATTATTTTTATACCCAGCTATTGTTTGCTGTGGCAAAGTTGTATTATTATATTTAATTGTTGTAGTACTAGTGTATAGTTTATAGGTTTGTGCCATGCTGAGATACATAGAGATGGCTGCGTCAGGCTCCACCATACGGGGGGATGGCATAAGCAGCAAAATCTAAATAAAATTTAAACTTTTGATGTGGCAGCCCGCAGCTATTAGGGGTGACGTTTCGAAGACTTGCGCCCAACTGAGGAAATTTCCCACACGGGACTGATAGTTTCAAGTGTGATGAAGATGGCTCTTGAATTCAAGCAATCTGAGCCTTGATATTGTTATATAGTGCAGCTGTTCCCAATTGGCTAAGACCTGCGGATGCCTTTCATTGTCATATATCATGGAAAGATGTAAAACCAAACAAAAAACAGATCAGCAAGCTTCACAATATGAAAAAATAGCCTGTGAACGCCAAGGGCCGTAACTCGAGAATTTTAGAGAAAACTGTTGACATTTCAGTCCCCTAAGTTTGTGTGTACCCAAGGTTAAAATAACCCAGTTTTTAGCACCCCTCTTATTTTCAGAAGCCTGCCACAGACCCCATACTGATGAAAAGCCATACTGAAGAACAGATTTTAATTTATATGTATAAAAATCACACACCAAAAAGGATTGCAATCTATAGTTGAGGGTTTTGTGTGTGTATGTAAATGATATCATGGACCATTTATATTTGCTCTACTGGTATAGTGGATTTTATATATATATATCCAGTTTATAGAATTTAAATCAGTAATACCTCTGAGAAGGAAAGACAGTAAATAAATGAGAATTAAAGACACATTGGACATGTGCACGTGTTTTACTATTGACTCTTCTTACTACTGTTTTTTTTAAAACACATTTATTATTTTTTGTCATTGTAGCAAAGAGCATGTTTGTTTCTCTTATGTCTGAACATTATAAGAAAACATTAAAGCTTATGAACTTACATTTGAAACACAAATCCTTATGGACCAAGAAAAGAAAAAAGTACTGACATTAGAGGGCTTGCCCATAAATAGCATCAGTTCTATTTGTTGTTGTCTGGCTACATTAGCAACTGAAATACTGTGGCCATAAGTTGAGTTGGGTTACAAATTGACATAATACAGTAGCACCTGGGACATTTCCCTAAGTGCTGCATCCTCATCTTCAGCAGCCAGCACAGAGTTCCAGTTCCTGTGGTGCAGTAGTAGTATGTTTGAATGTCATTCTTACCTTGAGAGTTGCTCTGTAGAAGAGAATGGGATCTCAGCATGTAATATTCCCAAAGACAGCTGTGAGAGCACTGCAGCCAACCTTCATTGTGGACACGGCACACAATAAATGTTTGGAAAGCATGGAGATAGGTATAGGACATTGGAGTCACTTTGGGCAGGAAAATGCACAAAAATGGTAACTGACAAAGGGATCGAGATTCCTGTCATCATCAACATCATAAACCACTTCTGCCGTTGAGCGTTGTGGGGAGAAATAATTTGCGATCCAATGCACGTTGGCTGCCACTGGCTATTGTCATGCCGTGAAGGCATAGTGTCTTTAATGTTGTTGATCCATATTTTCCACGGCCATCCTCTTGCTCTTGTAGCTGATCTTCTGAGATGTAGTGCTTGTGATGGTATTCGATCTTGCTGCATTTTAACAAGGTGGCCAAACCACTTGATCTGCTGTTTCTCGACTAATCTAGTGCAAGGTGTCGTTCCCACAGTTTGCCTAATTGTTTCATTATTAACTGTACTTGGCCATAATGGAAGTGGGTCTCCGAATGACCTGATAAATGATCATACCATTTGAAAAATATAATGTTAAAATAACAAAGCAGGTGAATTATCAAAGGTTTGAGAGGCTTTCCAGCTGGTCGTAAAGAAGCAGCATTCTGCAATGGGCCAGCAATGTGATGAATGAGTTAAACTTTACTTTTTCATTGTTGTTTCAACTGTTAACTTGTTTAGGTCCCAGGGAAAGCATACAATGAATTTCAAAGTTCGCGCCACATTGTATATTAAGCTTCATTTCTGATTAAACCCCTTATTTTAGCTCAGAATGAATGAATCAAGAATTGACAATCACTGTACTGGAGGCTTTCCCACATGTGCTCTATCCCCTCCCTCAGCAGCCAACAAAGAATTCCCCTGCTGATGGTACCAGCTGGAACTGATTAAAAATCCACCTCTCCTTAGCTGGGAAAACCATGCAGACACCCACATTTGTGGTACAAATACTATATAATGAATTTTTAAAAATAAAATATTTGTAAGGTCCTACAAATTTATTTGTACACGAAACCAACATTAATTTTCATAACATCTTATTTGTATCTTATTGCTATTTGCCGATAAAGCCTTGTTACTGCATCATTATGTGTTAGATAGTTTTATAAATCTGACCTAATTTGATTATTTCTAATTGTTGACATATCCATCCTATAAAGTCTTGCAATGTGTGGCTAGAATATCATGGGCATAAAGTGCAGATCATTTGGTTTTATCTACCTTTTCCCCCTTCTTAGTGTAGCGGCTAGATGCCTGCCTAACCGAAGGGCTTGGGTTCAGATCCTGACATAGCCAGCCTTTTTTCTCTCCAAAAACAAACTTGGCTCCAGGTCGACCCAGTCTCAAATAGGTACTAGGTAAAGTCCTGGGAAGAAAAGGTGGCCAGTGTGATGTTGTCCATATCAGCCATTGAGTGCCAATTTGTCTATAAAATATAGGTCTAGCCCAATACACCTGAAGGTGTGGAAAAGGGTTCTTGCTTGCTGTTTCTTTTCTTTTTGTGACTTGCTAGTTTCAAATTGTTCATGAGGCAGCCACAAGGGTTTATGAGAAACTGTTCTAATAGCTCTTTACAGATTGTTTTCTGATAAAATGTCCTGTTATTTAAGATATATATTCAGGTCAAGTTTCCAATGCAGACTGATGGTAGCTACTTGTTAGTTACTTTGTAGCTCATTGCTTTACATTGTTCAGACCTCAACTTTTTGGGTCCTGACTACATTATCTTCAAGATTCTTCACTTTGCTGTAATTTCCCCCCTGCCCTGTTTTACCAAAGCTCAGTGTGACCGACCAGCTTGAAAAGTGCTTGCTTACTTAACATTAAATTATCCTCAGCACTTGGCTCCCAGACTTAGTGTGACTGGCCAACTTAAAAATTGCTTACTGTACATTAAAATTATCTTCAGCACTGTGGCTCCTAAACCTACTGCAACCAGTCAACTTTTACATTATTGCCCTGAACATTGTTGCTCATAAACTTACTGTGACATCTCCCCCAATTTCATGGCTCCTGAACCAACTAACTTTCAAGATTCCTAACGTACCATTTGTCAATCCTAAAGATTCCCAGTCTTACAATTACCTGCTCTGTCTCATGACGGCTAGCTGTACAGTCTTCAACTTTATTGTCTGCATCTGACCTGTTTACACTGCCATACATTGCTCGTTTCCATAATTTTTTTTAAACTTTTGCATTGATTTGTACAAGATACATATAATTGTTAATTAAACAGATTATTACTCCCTGCAAGCTTTTATACTGAAATGCCATGTGGTTTTGATAAAGTGTTATTTATTTGTGGGTGTATTAAATATGCAGAGTTTAAAGCATAACATGTGATACCTGTATATAGATTGATTAATCCTGTGCTTGTAATATTTGGGCAGCGTTTGAACCAGTGGCAATTTGTGATATGTATTATGGTTTTCATTTGTTGGCTGTATTGAATTCATATGAGGGTTATGTAAAGTAAATGATGATGGTTAAAATAATGTTTCCTAATTCTTATTACTTGTATGTATGTTTTTGGATTAATTAATTGTTCTGTCACAAATTAATGGGACAGAGAAAAGAAATGGATCAATTATGGGGTGGCCTGTTTTCAGTGAAGTTGAAACCTGTGTTGTATAATGTGAAACATGGACAATGAGCAGACAAGCAGAAAACCGTTTACTCGATGCAGAGATGTTGTTTTTAAGTAAAATGCAAAGAATATCATGGAGGGATAGAAAAACAAACCAGGTTGTCCTCATCAAGACAGATGAAGGTCGTAAACTTATTAGAACAATTGGACATAGACAGTCACCTGTGCAGGTGTGACACTTATGCCTCAACAGCAGTTTTCATTATGGAGGTGTGTCTCATGTGGTATTTACTAGCGTAGGTAAATTATTATTATTATTATTCTTTGCGCTCACCCACTGTAAACTCTGCTCAAAATCCTATTCTGGACTAGATTTTTGCGTGCACATCCATTTTACAGATCACAAATGTAGATTACTGTGAAAGAAGCTCCCAGATTTACTGAATTTCAAGTCCTACCTGAATGGAGAATAGAGGTGGAGTCAGTCACTGCTGCCTTCAGCTGGCTTCAGAATCAGCTGTAAACGCATGTCGTAATTGTAACTGACTCACAAAGTATGTTGAGATAGGTCGAGACAGGCATGTTCCGTTCAGAGTGGCAAGAATCGCTTCCAAGGTCCCAGATAGTTAGCATTCTTTGGATACTTTCTCCAGGTCATGCCGGTGTGTTGGGAAATGAGCAGGCAGATTGACCAGTTCTGCACCACTTGGTGGTGAATTGATGTATGACAAGCTAAATGTTGGGAGGGAACTTTGGCAGCGAGTAATCAGTGCCAAGGCCGAAATAGATCACTACGGCCTGAGGAGAATGGCGGTGCGATGAGTTACCAGGGAATCTGGCCGACGCTCAGCACTCAAGGGAAAGGTGAGACAAATGCACAATCAGACAATTACTAATGCCATTGGAAGTGGAACTCTTCACTTGCTACCGAAGATAGGGATGGATTGCTTACAGGAGCGTCCTGAGTGCTGTGATTCGATTCTTAATTCAACATTAAAGCATGCCTGCAGTTACCTTGGTATAGCTAGAGTAAATGATTTTACTGGCTCTTTGTTTGGTCTGTGGGATGAATGTTTGCCAACTTTGATATAAACCAAGTATTATTAATTGGGGTTATCAACACATCTTGTGAGCAATGAAGCCACGTGACAATTGAGTTCTTCTTTTTTTTTGCATTCACTTGCTGTAAAATCTGGCAGAATGTTCTGGTTGTTCATCCAATTACTTCTGGACCTTGGCCTTCTTCCGGTACTCGAGTGTTGCATGCATTTTACCTGCCTGTTTATATGTATGCTGTTGGTTCCTCTCCTCTCAGGTAAACTCACTTTTTAGGAAACCACTAATTAGTCATCTTATTAGTTCTATCCTTCGTTGCACCAAAATGGTGTCCTGGAGACCAAGTAGAGAAATAAATGAGCCAGGAACAAACGATTGGCTTAAAATGGGTTTATTAGTTAACATTATTAATGTTCACTGACATGAATACATCTGAGAGCTGTGGTGGCACAGCTGGTAGCTGCTTGCCTTCAAACAAGACAGTCTTGGGTTAAATCTGCATCAAGGTAGATTTATTTTAAACTGATGAGCTCCCAGGTCAGCCTAAAACTGGGACCAGGATATTCCAAAAGTCAAAGTGACCAGCATGTTTATTTCAGCCAGCCAGTCTATCGAAATATGGATTTAGCACCATTTGCTTGATGCACCAATAGTCTAAAATGCCTCAGTAAATCAACCCTGCTGAAGACAGCTCAGTTTTAATTATGGTTTGGTTTTATTTGCGCAAAGTTTAATTACTTGAATGATCTTGTTGCTAACCCAGGCAACAAATGCCTGCAGAAGTTGTATATGTTAGCTGAAAGCAGCAAATAGCACAGCCGTGCTGTAAGTGGGTATAACACATTTACATTTTTGGATGAAAGCATGAGAGGAAAGGGTTTCTTGCACCAGTAACTGTGTGTGGTGATGTCCTTTCTGAATGTGTCTGGATCCTCTCTTACTGTCCTGATTGTTTTTCATGTCGATCTTCCTGGCTGTGCTCCTGTTTTTAGGCTGACACATATCAGTGTCATATTTTTGCCAGGGCACGCAGGCATGAAAGGAAATGAGCAAGCTGATTGGCTTGCAGGTAAAGTTACTGTGGAGGGCGGACGAGCATTGGGTCATGCTCATATTCTGAATTCTCTGCGGGAAGTAAGACTTTTGCAAGAACCAAGTGATGACCGTGAATCTGCAACAATGACCAGACTGCAAGAACAAGAGTTTAAAAGGGGTGTGGCCAGACAAGAGCCTTATGCAGGAAGCCAAAGAAGAATGAGAAACCAACACAGAACTGGTATCGTGAGTCGTTACACGCTGCAGGATTTACAAAGGAGGGAATCCGAGGACTGATGGACTGAATGGTCCGGTGTGCAATGAGGATAATCTGTCGACTAACTAGGATGTGACTGTGAGTTATAACTGTGCTGTTCTTCTTATACTGTGTGTGGTGGTTTTTAAGTCTGAGGTACTGTGTCCATTCATCTGTCCCTGAGATCCTTGATCACAGTTATGTCCTTGGGTTGTCCTGACATCAGTCCTATTACAGTTTCACTCTGTCCTCAGGATAAAATGGATCTTTTATGAACACAGACACTACAAGTATACTGCTGATAGTTTACAGTGATGACACATTTCTATTACATAAACACAAGCACAGATCTCACTAGCTGTAGCTTGCTAGCAATTTGCAACTTAAAACAATAAACAGCTGAACATTTTTGCATGAGGGAATCAAGGCATATATCTGAAAAATGGTATGTTCTGTAGTTCATCTTTATAATAGTTGTAAAAGTCTGCTAATAAGGGGTGTCCCCTTCAAAGTCAAATGCATCTGCCTGAGAGGCAAGCAACAGTCTGCCTACAAATAGTCAGATCTGTAAAATGTATGTGCATGCAAAACTAAAGTTCTGGGAAAAGACCAAAGTCTGGAAGTGGACAAACAACCAGAACCTCTTCATTAGAGTTTACAGCCAGGGAACACAAAGAAGAAGAAGAAGATATTCAAGTCAAAGAGCTTGACTTTGGCTGAGGTCTATATACCAGTTGGAGATATAACACAAAAAGAAAAAGAAAAAAAAGAAGAAATAGTGGTTCTAATTTCTGACCAGACAAACGTGTTGCATATCTCTCTCTCTCTCTCTCTCAGGATTATCAAGTCCCAAGTAGACTTTGATATTTTGCAGGAAAAATTCTCCATAGAAGGCAGCAGTCAGTTTCATACCAAATCTTCTCTTTTGTTCACACTTAAAGTTCAGTTGGCACGCTGTGGTTGTGAAATATCTGCACATTTCTATACAACACATCTGATTTTTGTTAAATTGTTAGTAGCCTTTTACGACATCCTTGGGGGAAGGTGGGAAGTGAATTTATTTCCCCCCTTTCATCATCATAAAAAAAGGGGGGGGGGGGGGGGGGGCAGAAGCAACAAGGGGATGCCAAACTTCAGTTGCTTCCTATCTCTTGCTTGTTTGGTTATAGCATTACTAATCTTTACTTTGTTTATGACTGACTGACTGACTTTCTACCCCACCAGGACATCACACAAGCGACAAACACCCGATGACACAATGTGCCACCATGTGGGTGAGGATCACTGTGGAGAGGTCCCAGAAACCGCGTTCAGCCTCTAGGCCATATTTATGGCCAGGCTATATTGCGGCCCCTGGCAAAAGCCAGAGTAGGGCTTCAAATAACGAAAAATTGCATCCTGAAAAGGACGAGAAGTAGGCAACTGAATGCTGACTTTGTTTACGAGTCCAGGTAAAACTTTAAACAAATTACTGGTTCAAAATATTGAGCAAATGAAATAAGAATAACAATCGACACCTTTCATTACATAATTATAATGTAAAACACTAACATCACAAAGTAAGCACAGGTGTGTATTTTAAGGGAGCACTGGTTTTAGATCGATGTAAAGTTTCCTCAAGTACGGCCACACAATGCTGGAATGTGTCTAAAACATTTCTTGAGGTTTGCACTAGGGAAAAAATAAAGGCAAATCATTCTTACAAGAAAATCTATTTCCATGACTGGCTGAAATATTTGCATTCTTAAATCTAGGCACCTTAACTTTTTAAATCCCAAAGAACGCATCATACGTTCATAGGTTACTACCTAGAAGCCCAATGAACGCATGATACACTGATTTTACGTCTCTTTTGATTACCGCTTGGGCCTGTGATGCCAAACCCTCTGGGACTCAAAGAGTTAAAAGTGTTCTAAAATTTCAACCTACTAGCCAAAACTAAAAGATTGGCGAGTAAAGGACTTTTCTGGCTAATACCACTTTCGGATTACAGTGCTAAATCCAGTTATGCACAGACTGGTGATACGTGAGGGGTGATCTGATCAACAATATCCCAGTCATCTTCACTTCCCAGGGCATTTTCTCATAACCCATTTTGAACTCAGCTGATGTGGGATCTGAACGCAAGATTTGCAGGCAGGCAGGAAAGTATCTGGCCATTTTGCTACTGTAACTTCCTATTCCCCATAACTGTTGCTGGCACCTCTTCTGTCTTTCCAGACATGCTATGGGGAGGCGTGGGAGCCAAATCCTATGGCGATGTTCCAATTCCTCCTCTTCATAGCACAAAGCCCGGGTAGTATTGTACAGATCAGTGTTTCCAACTTTTCTTAGTTGCTGCACCTTTTTTCAATTCAAATTTTTCCACAGCGCCCTAACCTAAGTAAAAGTATGACTATTCGTATGTAAGAGATCAAAATAAAAAACTTGTGTATCTCTTAATTTCTGTAAGAGGTCGCGGCTCACCGGGGCGCACAGTTTGGGAATCTGTTGCTCACACATGTTCATAATAGGCTAGGACTTTATGCATATTTTCGTCTAGGCACCTCAAATTTAGAACCATAAAATAATATAACACAGTGGATAGATTTGTTGAAAAGAAAATCCAATGGCACCTCATTAAAGTCTTATCATTTAATCTAACCATTTAGATTATATTTGTGTAATCCAGTTATTAATTAAAAACTTCAGTAAACAGAACAGTGAGCACACACAAAACACCACACACCCAGTGCAGAAATGACAAGAAAAGGGTCCTTTACTTTCATATTTGTTTTAAACTTCTCTAAATCTATTTCTTCTGAGTATATTTTTTTTCATAACAAGACAAATCTTACCAACAATTAGTAATGTTATATCAGACCGTTATATGATATAAATGTTTTTTTTTTTTAAATGGTATCTCCCCGTGTGGGTTAGAGGGCCCTATTTTCAAACACTGCTCCCCCCCCCCCCCCCCCCCACCTGCAAGCTATAAAAGGTGGCTAATTAGGATTAGGGGTTGCTGAAATAGGACATGCTGGTGCATATATCACAGCTTAGCTGTAAACCACTATGTTATGTACCTTTAACGACGAACAAAGAAACTTCTTTATCTAAACTATTTCTTTTAGAACTGCGTTTATAACAAAACATATCTTACCAAGAACCTGTGATTTGACATCAGACTCTTTCCTGACTGTGTCATTTAGTTTAGACTGCACTTGTCGAACTCTGTCCAGGTTTTCAAGCAGCTAAATACAACAAAATAACAACAAGCAATGGGTTCCAGTTAATCTTTAAAACATTCAATACATAAAACAGTAATTTCATTGGAAAGCTAAACATGGATATCTGTGGCACGTGTGGATAAAAAGCATCAGAAAGTCTAAATTACAGTAACTCACATGGATATACCCCAGGTTGACCCAGCCTTAAATGGGTACCAGGTATACTTAATGTTAAATTAAGAATCGACATAACAGCACTTGGGACACTTCCATAAGTGCTCTGTCCCAAACTTCAGCAGCAAGTGAAGTGTTCCAATTCTGTTGCACTAATTGTCTGATTGTATATCCCCTGAGTGTTCAACCTCGGCAAGATCCCCTGGTAACTCCTTGCAGCACCATTCTCATCAGACCTATGATCTATTTGTGCCTTCCCACTGTACACTCACCAGAAATCTGATTCTAAAACAAAGGATGTTTTACGATGACAGCTTGTCGGGTCATTGATAAACAGTCTTAAGCCAAGCTAGAGGGAAACATGCCCCGCCCAATTTGAGAAAATATCCAAGAGGCTAACCACCTGGGCCTCTGAAGCAATGCTCACCGCTCTGCACGGAGCATACCTGTCTCCCCCTTTCCCCCTATGCTCTGTGAGGTAGTTACAATTACGACATGTGTGTACAGCTGATTCTCAAGCCAGCGGAAGACAGCAGTGACTGCCTGCACCTCCATTTTCAAACTAGACCTTGTGATATCAAATGCCAGGCTTTGGTGCTCCAAGCAATGTCCATTCGCTTTTGCTATGAACCCCAATGCACTTCGTTTGCCTCTCTGGGTAACAGGAAAAGTCCTGAAAAGTAAAGAGGGCCAGCAAGGTGTTGACCATATCACCCACTGACCACATTACTCACTGACTACATCACCCACTGACCATATCACCCACTGACCACATCACCCACTGACCACATCACCCACTGACCACATCACCCACTGACCACATTACTCACTGACTACATCACCCACTGACCATATCACCCACTGACCACATCACCCACTGACCACATCACCCACTGACCACATCACCCACTGACCACATCACACACTGACCACATTACTCACTGACTACATCACCCACTGAGTGCTAACTAGTCTATAAAATACGGGTCCAGCCCTGTTTTACCCAATATGCCTGAAGGTGTGGAAACGGGTCCATTATTTTACCTGACCTTTACTTCACAGATAGCTGTCTTAAAATTACGGGAATGTGAGGTAATAAGAGAGCAGATTTTTTGGCTACAAAAGTGAACATGAACACTCATTCCTGACCAAAGCAGACATTTTGAAAACCATTTACAAAGAATCTTGAAGAAAGATACAGTGTTATATGAAATAACATGTCTAAGTCTTTAAGTCTATGTGAATTTGGCAAGAGAGAAAATACGAGATCAAGACTCTCCCCATTTGGGAGAAACAACAATATACTCACTGCCAGCCCAACAAGCATGTCATAAGAGTCAACTAACTGGGAGATTTCTTCGATCAGAGTGCATCTGCCTGAGAGGAAAGTAACCAACAGTCTGCATACAAAAAAGTCAGATCTGTAAAATGGATGTGCATATAACACTCAGGTTCTAGAACAAGACTAAAGTTCAGAGGTGGATGAACAACCAGAACTTTCCGCTGAAGATTACAGCCAGTGAACATGAAGAAGAAGATGAAGAGTACAGCTTGTGTACAACAAGTGAGCTACTGGAACTATCAGCATTTACGCCTTAAACCGTTTGAACTGGGAGACGATACATCATGCTCAGTATGCTCTGTCAATTCTGAGTTCAGAAATCAGTTCACAGAGCAACAGCTGTCATCAGCAAACAGCAACAAGAAACAGAACAAAACAAAAACAGCTGCTATCTTGCAGTCACCTCATTCTGATATAATTAAAAGACAAATGGTCCATTTTGTTTGCACACATCATGTAATGCTAATTTTGAAATTTAAAAATTAATCATCATATTGAATCCATGGTGACACTGTGGGTGGTTGGTGTGCCTACTTGCCAGAAATAGTGATGATCTAGGTTCAAAAACGGATTCCATACATTTTTTTTAAGATTTTTTTGTTTTTGAATTGTCTAGAAAAGAAAAGCAGTGAGAAATGGGATCAGCCACCCCAGGTTGTATATCATGGCCTAAGAAATGTGAAGGCTGAACACTTCACAACCCACTGACAGAATCTTCTATGGCTATTCAAGTGGTGGCCCCCGGGCTCAGTCTGGCTCGCAGAGGCCTAGCAAGTGGCCCACAGATCATTGCCAATGTATTGTATTAATAAGTTTTCTATGCCGGGGCTCAAGTGTCTACCTTGTGACAATCCCTTGTTCAACTATTTAGCCTCTGAATACATTTATTTAAACATCTCATCTCTGTCCTTTGAGACAGACTTGTTGTTTCTCAAGTTTATAAAACAAAACTACACAGCTAAATCCTTCCTACCTTAACAAACTTCTCCAAACAAACGTGAACCCTCTTGAACATCAGCCCCAGGTCTGAGAGTTCCGGTGGTGTTTGGTGGCAAAACTTTCTAACCTGATTCTCAAAACAGTGCATAAAGCCATCTGCCAGCTGGTGCAATTCTTTTAGAACTGTGGCCAACTTATGAGTCAGGTTCAACAGTTCATCTTCCTTTCCATTCTCTGGCAACTTCACCTAAATAAGAAAAAAAAAACTTTTTTTACTGCCTGCGGTTACCACTAAAACTGGACAGAGAACAAGATGTGCCAAAGCTAATCAAGTAATGGGTCAACTATCTCCTCTTGGTAATCTCGGTAATCTTAGTTTCCGCTTCATAGCAAACGAGTCACTCCATAGTTGCTCCGCTCCTGTGCCAACGAAAGCACACATATAATGTGGAAAGATTGTCAGACTGCTGTCTCAGCATATGCACTAGCATACACGCGCATTAAAAGCATACGGTAGCCATCAGAAGTGCTAAAACAAACAGTTTACATTAGAAATGCAGTTCATCATCGACGGTATCAAAAGTCACCAACAGATCAGCAGTTGCGCACGCAATCAATATAAATCACATAAGGGCACCACCAATATTGCGGCGACAGTCCAACGCCATTTTCTGAATCTACAGTTCACAACACCACGTTGGTCAGTCGAAAAACATTCCAAATGAAATCCGCAGCTCACAGGGTCGTGCCATGCACTCAACTCAGTAGCTGGCGTGACGAAACTGTATCCTTCCAGTCTACAAATGGATCAAAAATGCAACGGCCACCGTCTGGCAGAAGCAAAAAATTTGCCTCGACTTGAAACAGTAACCGTGCCTGGCGTCCATTTTGACCAAGTTGACACACAAGCAGATTCCCCGGAGTACTCTTCTTCTTCGTGTTCACCAGCTGTAAACTCTGGTAAAAAGTTCTGGTTGTTCGTCCACTTATAGACTGCAGTCCTGTTCCAGAACCTGAGTTTTGCGTGTGTATCCGTTTTACAGATCTGACACATTTGAGTGTAGACTGTTGGTTCCTTGCCTCCCAGGCAGATGCACTCCGACTTCGAAGGAAGCTCCCAATTAGTCGACTCTTTGGGCAGGCAGTGGGTCTATTCTTGTTTTCCCTATAATAGGGCCCCAAAACCCACACTGGGGACCCGGAGTACTAAAGTGAATCTTATCAAAACTATGTTTTGGCCAACACTATGCAATCAGTGCCAAAGGTACACATCCTCTAATGAACGTGACAACAGAGATGAAATGCCTTAGAATAACTGCAGAAGTTTCAAGGAAAGACAGAATATGAAATCATGAAATCAGACGAATGCTAGAAATAAAGCTAGTCTTACAAGTCATCTGTTGTGTCCTAAATGCGGTACCACTAGTCAGCACACTACCAGGTGTCTAGCAGGTACCCTTCCGCTTCCTCTCTTAGAAACAGAACTCGATGACGATGACACCGTCATACCTTTTATTCAACAGGATACATGACACAAATGCAGAGACGTAGTTATTGATCACAGTTGACATTCGCACATAATCCATTTGTCCTCAATCGCTCTCTCACTCAATTTGTAGCGACCTCTCCTTGACCACTACAGCTCTAGGGACTACAGTGTCCCACACTCTGGACACGCCGTACAGCTGAACAGGACGAATTCTCCCATTCACTGGACCTTGATATTATTTCAGCAGACAACACGGCTGACTGGAGACGGACTTCCCTTGCCGTACTCCGAAAACACACAGCTGTCGCCAGCTTGTCGAAGGGCTCCGATGACCGACAGGACTTCTACCATAAGTCCCCTCTAGCACATAGCTCTCGTCGGCATCACCCCCTGTTCTGTTTCAATAGTGGTCCTCATACGTTTCACTACGTCGCCACCCAGAACAGGTACTACTGGAGTCTCCCGTCCCCTGGACTTACTTCGCCAGCAGGACCATACCTTCGACCAGTACCGCAACCTCAACACTTACTAAGACCTCAATGCCTGATAGTTGTATGGTATTCTTGTCTGTTAGACTCGAGAGAGATATCATGGACCCTGACTTGGTCTCTGACTCTCTCTCTCTCTCTCTCTCTCTCTTCGACTCTGACTGACTACTCAGCCCTCCAATTTATCCCCCTCAAATCCGTGTAGGTGGATGATTTTACCCGAGAGGCACGCTCGTATGGGCGTTCTAGTGAATCACGCTTATGTGGGTGGCTGATGTTACCTGAGAATTATGCTCTCACTTAATTCACACTTTCTCTGTTTATCTCGTTAGCCATGCTTTCAGCCCCCACACAGTAACCCATGCGTCCACTTTCTCGTGGCACTACAGAATTACTCTCATACCACTGTCGCTCCACACAATATCACACTTTACCCAAATCAGCGCGCAACAGAATGCTAGAAATAAAGCTAGTCTTACAAGTCATCAAAGAACAACAAATGAAGTGGTTTGGACACCTAACAAGAATGCCCTGGTACTATCTGCCACTGCAAGCCAAACTAAAACATTACAACGGGTATAGAGCGAGTGGAAGACCTCGGAAAAGATGGAGTGATGGAATTAAGAAGAGCCTTACAGAAATGAATATTAGTCTTAATAGTGCTCTTGACAGAGCACATCAACGAATGTTAAATCCCCCCTCCCCCACCCCCCGGCATGTCTTTAGAAGCCTGCATACAGTAGGCAACCTGCAGACCTGGGATTTCGATTACCTATACAAAATTCATTGCTCTGCTTCTTTTGCATATTAGACCTTTACTGCAGTGGACTTCCGCATCAACTATAGTTTCATATGACATTTCACACATAGATGCCTAGGGGCATCTAGTGTGGCAGTATACCGACAAACGAGTCTGTTTCATTTGCTTCCCATGTCATGGTTTATGAACTCTTTGGACTATTAATGCACCTTCTGTAAAAGGCAAACAGAAAATTCACTGGCATCAAAAAGCAAAAATAAACTTCTTCTTCTATGTTAATCCTGAACTCTTTAAGTACCAAGAAACACACCATGTATACTGCAAATAATTAACATACACCAGTAAACTTGTTTATATTTAGTCAGAGACAATAAAGAATAAAGGGTAGTGAGCTTACTTTGGAACTTTTCACAAACCCATGCCGCCGCGGCGGGGAATTAATAGGCTAACAGATTGACAGGATCTGCACCACTGGGTGGTGAACTGATATATGACAAGGCAGATGTGGACAAGACCCTTTGGGAACAAGTAACGAAGTCTGAAGAGAAGCTAGACTATTATGGCCTGGAGAGAATGATGCACCTGGTTGTGACCAGGGGGTATGGCCGGGTCACTACATTCAGAGGAAAGGCAAGACAGACACATACCTAATAATATGTTCATTTCCTACAAGGGCTGGGTATTTGGTCCCTGTGAAAGCAGTACATCCATAAGTCTGGTGTGGTCATTAATATTTATCTCAGACATCAGCTATGTCATTCTGGGACTGAAGGAGTTAAGAGGGCAGTTGGCATACAACAGTGTGGTTTACAGTGAGGCTGTGATATCTGCACTCTTCAGCATAAAACATCTGATTTCAGCAAAAACTTGATTAGACATGCTTGTTAACCCTTTAAGTCCTAGGGGGTTTAGCATCAGAGGCCCAAGGGGTGGTAAAGAGAGACGGAAAATAAGCGCATTTTGCATTCATTGGGCTCCTAGGTAGGAACCTAAGAACAAATGATGCATTACTTGGGACTTTAAGAGTTAAGAAGCAGTAAGCCTAATCTAAACCAAGCCATACAAAAACTTACATTTTTTATGCAGCAATACAGATTTTACTTAGCCAGAAAAAATGTATACTTACTTGCTTCTGTAATTTTTCTAATGCCAAATTGTTATCTGATAGTTCACAGGCAAGTTTCTCTGATTTTTTAACCAAATCTTGCAAATTTGGTTGTTGCGGGGATCTGACAACACAAAGATGTACATTAACTTACTAGCATAAAAACACTACAAACATTAATCACAAGAAATATAGTACTATAGGGTGAAAAATAAATGGGCCAGCATGTGCCCACACTATGAAAATGGTCCTTCACTTGCTCTTTCATCACACATAAAACCATCAGACATTTTTCTCAAGATTAAAAGTATGGGTTACCTATCTCGAATCCATCCCTCTTTGATCCACATATTCTCCACTTCAGCACGGATGTCCCTCGGCAGCAGATCAACTTTGGAATCAAACATACTCATAAACCCATCTTGGCTCACCAAGGTGTCTATGTATGTATTGTCCCTACAAATATAAAAATAGGTATTTATTACAGTGATGACGAAGATAGCAATATAATGGATACATCCGGAGGAGAGCATAGGCAGAGAATCATTAAATAGGAACTTTAATGCGAAACGAACGGAATAAGCACATCTAAGGAAAACCCTAAGAGGAATAATACTGAGAGAGGCCACCGATGCAGGACTAGATTCCATCCAGGATTTCTAAAGGATTGCACAGAATGATGGAATCAAGGATGAATAAGTAATAAACTTTATTTTCAAAGGGCCACAAAAGCCTGTCTTGCATTCGGCTCTTGCAAACATGAATTTTTCAAACAGCTATTGCATTTTATCTGTAAAGCATGCCAAGTTCATATAACAGTATACAAATATGAACATCAAGTAAAATACACAAAAGCATAGGGGTGTATGCATACATACATGCCTACCTACATACATAATCATACACATAAACGCATACATAAAGACACACAATGGGGAGACTGGAGAAGAGAAGCAGGGGGAGATCAAGAGAGAAGATGCTGGACTGGTATCCCAGCATGCAAGATCTTCTGTATAGGAAATAACTGAACTTACATAAGACAGAATGCTGTGGACAGGCATAATTAACCAAACCATATGGTACACAATACAAGAAGAAGTGAAACTTACTGTCTGATGGAAGAATCTGAAGAACTATACTTCTCTCTGGTACACACCATGTCCAACAGCCTGTCTATGAAAGTCACTTGCCGAGACAACGAACCTTCTCCCTGTTAAAAAAAAATTTATAAGTAAAGTAGCATGTGTGACTGAGTTCACTCAGTTGCACCAGTCATGAATGTTATGAATGTCTGTCTATTTTACAAAAAGTCAGACCACATCAAAGCACCCTAAATACACGTGTCCCTTACAAGGGTTGTGCTTTTTAACCCTGCGGATGCAATAGACCTATAGCTTTATTGCTGTCGTTACTGTCTCACTCAGACATCGGCTATGACCTCATGGGACTGAGAGAGTGAAGCGCATTTGGCATACAGTGCTAGAACTATATGTTTATAGACTAATCGTTGCTTGATGGGTGATGTGGTTTACACATCATGGGACTGAGAGAGTGAAGCGCATTTGGCATACAGTGCTAGAACTATATGTTTATAGACTAATCGTTGCTTGATGGGTGATGTGGTTTACACATCATGGGACTGAGAGAGTGAAGCGCATTTGGCATACAGTGCTAGAACTATATGTTTATAGTCTAATCGTTGCTTGATGGGTGATGTGGTTTACACTGGGCATACAGTGCTAGATTTATACATTTATAGACCAGTCAGCACTCAGTACATAATGTGGTTAACACTGGGCATACAGTGCCAGATTTATATATTTATAGACCAGTCAGCACTCAGTACATAATGTGATTAACACTGGGCATACAGTGCCAGATTTATACATTTATATACCAGTCAGCACTCAGTACATAATGTGGTTAACACTGGGCATACAGTGCTAGATTTATACATTTATACACCAGTCAGCACTCAGTACATAATGTGGTTAACACTAAGCATACAGTGCTAGATTTATACATTTATAGACCAATCATCACTTGATAGATAATGTGGTTAACATTAGGCATATTGCGCTAGACTTATACATTTATAGACCAATCAGGACTCAGTGAGTGATGTGGTTAACATTTGGCATATAGCGCTAGACTTATACATTTATAGACCAATCGGTACTCAGTGGGTGATGTGGTTAAAATTTGGCATATAGGGCTAGACTTATTCATTTATAGACCAATCGGTACTCAGTGGCTGATGAGGTCAAATCATGCAGGCTCTTATTACTTCCCAGGTCATTACCTGCTACCCACTTTAGGTTGGACCAACTCTGGAGCCAGGGTCAATATTACAACATTCTGCAAAGACACTCATATTTATTAATTTAAAATGTTCACAATCAAGCTTATTATCTCTACATGTTCAGTTAATTAATATTTCAAAGCAACAACTCCCTGGGTCCACAATGGGTTAAAGTAGTAAGCTCCAGAAACTAAACAAGTTAAATAACTAGTAAATAAATAGATTAAGCAACAACCTGAGCTGACAGGTCAATGCCAGATCCTTTCTTAAATCAATAATTAACAAACAATTTACCTTTAGACCTGAGGATTTAGACTCACATGGCTAGTGCAGAAGTCAAGAAGTATGCAGCCTAAGATTGTATCTGCGCTCTTCCTTTTCCCCAGAAATATTTATTTCCATTATCTTACTGAGAAATGAACTCAGACCTCTTGAAAGGGAGCTCGGCCAGTGTCTCCTCATCAATTTAGTAAGGTTAAAAAAAAACTGTTTGTACATAAACAAACTGTTGAAAGGTAGTCCCTTTTTTTGTTAACAGCCAGTGTCACATCATGCATATGATGCCAAACTTATAGTTTTATAGACCAAGTGGCACTTAATGGGTCATATGGACAACATCAAACCAGCTATCTCTTCTTCCTAGGACATTGTGTGTTACCCATTTTAGGATGTGTCTTCTTGGGAGCTTATGTCAAATTCTGAAGAAGAAACATCCACTATGGAACAGATTTGAACATAAGACCTTCAGGCGAGCATCCTACCACTATGCCACAGCAGCACTCCGTAAATTTTGTAGTAAACCATAAGCTTACAACGATTACATTCAAAACAATACATATAATATTTATTCAAGTTAGTCCGATGGTAGGACTGTAACTAGGGTGTGATATGGTTGACCTCTACATTGTAGGCCATGACGTCAGGAGGCAGAGAGGTCAAATCTTCTTGTCACTGACTTTTCTTCCCAAGATCATTTCCAGAAAGTTACGAAAAGTGTCGGGTACCAGCAGGAATAGTTAAAACGTTAGGCTCTTATTCAGGGAACTTAGAGTTGAAGCATTAGTAAGGTAATTTTTTTTTTTCCCAGCTGCACCAAGTAAAAAAAAAAAAAAAAAAGAACCTAACCTGCACACATGCTATGCTGCTTTTAGAGAGATAGGACGTTCTGAGGATTTTGGAAGCAACGCATCCACATAACTGCTAAGAATACGAGAATTGGGAGTAAAGATAAGCAGTGCCAATTATGAGAAGCACACCGGATGCACACAAAGTCTGTTAACCAACTTAGGACTGGCACTATTCACCGCGCGACGCTGATGAATATATTGAAAGGGAAATATGAGCGCCTGTGGATGTGTCCAGAGTGCTGTGAAGATAATCTAACTCATAACTCACATGCTATGATGACTAAATCAGTCATACAGCCCTAAATCTAGGGCTGTAAACCCCTTGTCCTGCAGTGCCATAAACAGTGATAAATATAAGAGGAGATTTGGTTTCCAAACTATTTTCTCAAGGTGTGAAGTTCCGCTTCTGAATGCCCTGACACAGGTTTTCACGGTGAAGTGGTCAAGCTATCAAGATGATCTCGGCAGATTGCCAACAAACAGGATCAAACCTTGTACAATAAAGATGATCTTCATGACGATAAATTTAACTACTTCAGCTGCTCAATTCAACAATAACTCTGTACTTACCTTAATCAGACCCACATCATCACTTTGACACAGACACATAGCACAGGCTGCGGTCAACAATTCTGCAGACCATGACAAAAAGGTCAAATATGAAATAAAGTTAATGAAACTAAAGAAAAATGACTGAAAGGGTTTTTGGGGTTTTACCTTATAGAGCGCGGTGTCTCTCCCCAGAGTAGCTACCCAGGTTCCCCCCCCCCCCTCCCCCTTTCCTCACCCAAGAGTAGTGCACAAACTTTTTAGTTCCAGCATTGCACCTCAGACAGAGATCTTTAAAACACATACACCTGTGATGTAAAGGACAGAGTCAAAAATCAAACCCACAACTTTAAGGACATGAGGTAGTTGATTTGACACATTTTTCAGACCTTAGAGAAGTGATACTTCAGAATAAAACTAAATAAATATAAACACAGACAGTAACACTGGGAGCCCGCCGCAGCAAAATGGCTAGAAGCCTGCCTGCCTGCCCAAAGATCTTGGGGGGGGGGGGGGTCATATTTGGCATTATATTTTTTTATTTTTTTTTGTTAAACTGACCTTAGCTCCGAGGCTGACCCAGCCAAAAATAGGTGCCCGGTAAAGTCTGATTGCTGCGGGAATGAACTATCGACTAAATAACTTTTTTTTGTTTTACGTCAAGTGAATAGATGTGAAAGGTGCAGACAGACCAAGAAGCATCTAATGGCAGCAGAAATTTGATTCAAGGAAATATAAATACAATGACCAGACAGAAAATTGGATACAGCAAAATGTCCATCAGAGGAAAATTATAACTGACTACAGAAATTTGAATAAACTGAGAACTCAGCCGGGATTTTTTAAAGGAAAAATAAACTGGAAAATGTAGTGACAATTGTCAAAGCTACTAGGAAATGAGCACAAGGAAGACAGAGATAAAAACATTTATATTATGACCAAAAATCATAACAGAGGACTAGAATACAGATCGTAAATATTGGTGATTGTATGAGATAACAATGACCACCCATTTTTATCAGTATGGCATCTATCTGTGTAAATCAAGATATGTCTGTCTGTTTATCTGTCTGCCTATCTAAAGGCTAAATAAGATAAATTTAATTTAATAAACAGTCTATAATTCTTAATAACATTATCAATGTTAAGCAATTTAGAAAACAATGATGCAAATGTTCTTCAGTCTTACTTTGCAGCCTTGATTCTGTTCTGGTTCCAAAAGATAAATGTGAAACACTAAGCAATTCTTCAAGCTTCTCGTCATACCTGGGAATGATTGCCGGGTATCAGCCATATTAAAATGTCATTAATAAACGTTAATGGTAAAGGAAAAAGGAAGGCAGTATGAAACATTGACCTACAAAGCAGTATTTATATAGCGGGAAACAGCTTTTGACCGAGAAAATTAGGAATACACCTAAAAAACATAAGGAATTAGTAAACATCTTCCCTGTGTGGGTTTCGAGGCCCCATTGAGGGGAAAACAAGAATAGACCCACTGTGTTCCCAATGAGCATGTCATAAGATTCGGCTAATTGGGGGTTTCCTTCAATGTGGAAGTACCTCTGTCTGAGAGGCAAGGAACCAGTATACACATAAGTCAGATCTGTAAAAAGGATGCACACACAACACTCAGGTTCTGGAACAAGTCTCAAGTCCAGAGGTGGATGAATAACCAGATTTTACAGCTGGTGAACGCCAAGAAGAAGAAGATGTAGTAAACATCTTATCAAAGTCTGAAAGAGTTTATACACATTAGGTAAAAGTTGCATTAGAAGAAAATTTCATTCATCAAACCTTTTGAAGTAAGTTCAGGAGTATGGCAGGAATATGCACCATCTCCCAACTTTGTATACTGCACATTGATATTATAGGCAATGAAGCAGAGAGTGAAGAAGGAAATGAAATGTCAGAATTTTTTTTGCAGACAGAAACAAGAGCCTCCAGAACCATCTCAATTAAGTAAACGGCAAGTGTGAAAAATATAAAATGAAAATAGGTCTCGAAAAGACAGAGACAACAGTAATAGGTAGACAATCAGAAACCATATCAATAAAGGTAAATAACACACAGGTAAAACAAAGAATTGAATTTAAATACCAAGGTTCACTGTTCACATCAAAAGAAAAAATTGAATGGAGAAATTTACATATGAAGTACAAAAGCAAATCATGTACTGGGGAAATATTGCCACTGTTGACACACACAATTGCATACATTTGTCTAACAAGGAAAATCTAACAAGAACTATTTCTGGCCAGCTTTATCCTTCTCTTCTTCTTCAGCATTCCAAGCCCTTGAGATTCATTGCTGAAGATATCACCTGCCTCCACCCATCTCTCTAGCTGGCCTTTTCTTTCCAGTTGGTGACACCAAGTGCTTGCAGGTCTGTCTGGATGTAATCTCTCCATCGTCTTTTTGGTCTGCCTTGTGGTCTACGACAATTCAGCTCCTTTGTGTTACAGTCTTTATTTCTCTGTCATTTGACATTCTCTCATTTTTTTTCTGTATGGGGGGGGGGGGGGGGGGAGAGATAAAAAAATCCTAACCTGCATGCACAGACCGTAGTTACAGCACTAGCCATGCGACCTTAAATCCTCAGGCTCAATGACCCCCTTACATCATTTTAACAAATGTTAATTATGGAACCTTTAAACTTTACCTGGAGAATAACCATTCCAGGATCTTCAGTCGACCTTCTCCAGGACTGAGTAAAAGTTCAACAACATAGGCTTCATCCATGTCTTCTGTTTCTGGATACTCTAGGAACTTCACCATCAAATAAAGTGATAATATTAACTCTAAGGATCCCAAACAAAACACCATGTGCGATTAGTGACTAGAAAGGATTATCATCACAGCACTCCAGACAGATCATAGGTGCTAGGGTCTCCTCCTCAAAAGCTCCACAAGTGTAAAACGACTGATGACGCCTGTTCTGTGTTGGTTAATGAAACATCTTGTCCTCTTAGTGAAATGTTCAATTCTTGCAGCTCCAGGCTGCACCCCCATGTCCATCAGTCTAGACAGGGATATGGAGTCATGTCCTTTGGCGTGCTCCTTAGTACAGTAAGTGCAGCGCATAGCATTGATAACATGACTTCTGTCCAGTACTGGGCCAGCCATAGCAACTGCAGTGTCAGCAAGATAGTCTGCACGCTCATTCCCTTGAACACAAGCATGAGCTGACACAAAGATGTAGGTTAGGGCAGATATTCGTGAAGTGCTTAGTGTTTCAATCCATTCTTGCCTGATAAATCCAGCTTGGATTTTTTAAGCATATTCATCGAGTCACTAAGAATGCCATGCTAAAGCCTTTGTTACAGCCAGTTTCCATTGTAAGGCAACTAGTTGTAACAGCAAAGGCACCATCATCTCCTTGGTGGTTTTCCCCCTTGAGTTTATTGTGAAGGCCCATGCACTTCGCTTGCCCTTAATTACTGACCCATCTGTGTAAACTATAGCATCACCTTCATCTGTGTTTTCATCAATCAGTGTTCTGACTAAAGTGTCAACAATGCCAGAAATCAGCTCTCTACAGGTTCCATACAGTGTGATAAGTGAAGGTAGCTGGCGTGATGCTGACCACATCACCCATCTTGTGCCGATAGGTCTATAAAATATAGGTCTAGCCCTATACGTCCTATACATCTAAAGGCGTGTAAAAGAGAACTTTACTTTTACTTACGTATTTTAGACTGGATTTAAAAAAAAATAATAATTTAATGTTGAAATGAGCTTAAAACCTTTGGATAGCATGCATGCGTCTAGCCACTTGTAGTAACTTGTGTGAAATTACCTTCCACTGAAACAGTGGGGGATGGGGGGGGGGGGGGGGGAAGAATTATACCACCCAGCTTCTTATCTGTTATCAACTAATTAGGTCACAACTAAAAATGTCATCACTAATACTGTAATATTATTTCTTTTCTGAGTTTTATTCAAGTTTTCGCCTAGGGCAAGATAATCCGAGCAATATGTAATGACATTATATTACCAGTGTTGTATTTTCTGTGTGAAATCATGATCTGGTAACATCTGAATATAACAGTACTAATAATTCGCTGGTTTCTTTATGAGATAGGAGAGCTTGGTTGCAGCATATGTAAAGTACTGAGTACTTTTTTTTTAGTGCAGAAGATACTTTGACATCTTTAACTTACTAACTTACTTTAACCTTTTTTTGAATGTCTGGACAGAGAACATTTATAAATTATAAAAGTCGCTACACTGACACACCGACCTCACTCAGAAGAGAGGCAGAATTAATCATTAGAATATTAAGATTGCCAGGCTTCAAAGTTAAAACTCAGCTCTCCTGTCAACTACGGCCGGTAGACAACAGTAGACGGCTGGTTAGTCTGAGTTCTGTCCCCTGGCTGTAGTGCAATTATGGACTGGACAGGAGGGAACGAAACAAATGACATAATTACTGTGTGTTGGTGATAGACAGCGTGCACTGCCCTGCTATAATCATACGGTTAGGGTTTGGTTTAGGTTAGGGTTAGGGTTAGGTTTAGGGTTTGGGTTACGGTGTGGGTTAGGTTTAGTGTTAGGGTGTGGGTTAGGGTTACGGTTAATGTCGCCGCATCTCATCTTCACACAAACTCAAAGTAGCAACCCAAACCCTAACCCTATCCCTAACCCACACCCAAACCCTAACCGTATGATGACAGTAGGGCACTGCACGCTGTCTAACGCCAACACACAGTAATTCTGTCACTTGTATCATTCCCTCTAATCCACTCCGTAATGCGTCGCAAGAAGCGGTAATTGAACATGGTCGCTAATTTGAGTCGCAGCGTGGGGTCCGCTAGGCATGTCGACCTCACTTTGTGGTCTGATTCGTGTCTTCTCCAGTCCGTAATTGCACTGCAGCCAGGGGACAGAACTCCGACTAACCGGCCGTAGTTGACAGGAGAGCCTAAAACTCTTACTGTTGTCTTCAATTAATTAATAATATATTAATATATATTATTATCGAATAGTCGAATACAAATGTTGGGAACTGGTAGGTAGGTAGTCATACAGGCCTTTCAAAAGTGCTGAAATGAATGGGGGTGATTCTAATTTTTTAAATACCAGGTACGATATATTTGACTTAATAATAGTTAATAATAATAATAACAGTACTAATATTAATATAATTAGCTATTTTAATCATTCAAGTGACCCACTTAAAAACGAAAGTAGAGATCGCTTAGTTACAAGATGGCGTCGGTGGTCCACGAATAATGGCTCCTTTGCCTATCAGTTACTTTGAAATCCTGTCGCTCAATACTGGCTGTTCAGAATCGAATATGTGGGCTCAAAGTTATTCAGAAAAGGTCGCTCAACCAATCGACACCTAACTTACATAGCGATCTTTGTTCAGCCAAATAAATTTCACTATTTGCCATGCGGGAAGTAAATTTCTTTAATATATCCTTTTTAAAGTGAATATATATACTAGGAATCGTCATTTTTGGATTCTGCGTCCATTTTTACATAAATATGGGCAGTCACGTAGGACATAGATAAGTTAATAAAATATAATGTAATTTTTCCTCTTACCTTATGAAATGCTGCTCCATGAAAACACAACATAAATCCGAAGCGAATTACATCTCCATGAAAACACAACATAAATTCAAAGCGAATTACAAAGGAGCTTATTTAATAATTTTACTCCATGAAAAACATAGCACTGAGTCACAAATCGGGCATGAGCGGTTACCTTCGATTATTTTGAACAAGTAAATAAAATATCAAGCAGTGACTAGTTAAGAAGAAGAGGGGAACAATGTGGTGAATTGTCTCATCATCAATAAAATGAAAGAATAACTCGCAAAGATTGAAAAAGGGATTATGTTAAATCAGTAAGAGGGGCGCTCATTTTCACTTGGTTATAAAACAATATAGGAATATAGGGGCCTCCGTATCAAAGTGGTCAAGCCGTTAACCTCGCGCTCGGAAGATTGTTGTACGTTCATTTACAACTGCATTGTTCGACTCGAAAATGCATTTTTTTGGTTAGCGGAGACCTCTGTGGGCTGTTGCTGGAGCTACGGTATCCAGGCTTTGTGCTAAGCTCTCGGCATGCGTTATTTGTTCAGTATTGTGGAGAAAGACAAAGCCATATAAAATCAGTAACGATGCAATGAAGTCAATCCACTCGCTATTAAATATTTTTTAAACAGTGGAATAAAGCAAATTTCGGTCAGATGTATGCACACACACAAACATACACACACACACAAATGAGAGTGCGAGAAAAATCATTTTTCAACAAATAGAAAAAGATGCATCATAACAGGAAGAATAGATATAAAAGTATATATATATATATTACAGTATAAGTCTTGCAAGACTCACTGGATAATTAATAATAATTAATTCATAAGGTATTTAATGAATACTGATAAATTTACTCATTTTTATGTTATTTAGGTTTGCATCACATCATATTTTTAAAAAGGCAACAACTTTAGTTAGAGCTTGCTGTCCTGAAAGCAATGACATATGGTTGCTAAGGGGTTCAGCAAAAAACTTGAGAGTTATTGACATTAAACATGATAAATTTAGGTCCAGTTTTCACTTGGGAACACGCCGCCATCTTGTTTCTGTGTTTTCCATTATAATTTTTTGAGGGTACTTTCCGTCACTGAAATGGCAATATCTCCGCTTAGAATTGACATACAGACTTCATTGAGGTACCGTTGGACTCAGTTTTTCAACCTCTATTCAGCTGTCTTGGTTTAAAAGTAAAAAACCCAATTTTTAAATTTTGACTAAAATAGCTAGTAGTTAGTTACACTTACACAACTTACACTTACACATAATTGTTTGTTTTTGTGTATAAAATTATAATTAAGCCTGCATCATACATATAGGAATAAAAGATATTTCGTAGTTTTATTTAGCTACGCAATATCAACAATGTGAAATTTTCACGTGCATCATAAATGACTGAATACATACATCCAGCCGCTGCTTCACAGAAGCAGCAAAATCCAACTTTTTCGTGGAAACCGCCATCGGGAAATATGGTAGTCGAGGGGAACCGGATGTTTTGTTTGTCGTCAAACTGAGTTACCGAACTTCGATATTTCTTCTTCTCCTTCTTCTTCACTTCCTCTTTTACCGCTGTGGGTGTCAAGGGAGATATAAGGTTCTGTTTCTAGCTCTTCTGGCTGCCTCGACCATAGGCACATCGTGCTGTTGTAGAGTTTCTCTGATGTTATCCTTCCATATTGTTCTTGGTCTACCCCGTGCTCTACGTCCTTCTTCTCTTCCCATGTATGCTTTGTATGGTATGGTGTCACAAGGCATTCTCTCTAAGTGGGCAAACCATTTCACTTGCTGTCTTTGTATGTAAGCCAGAATTGGTTCTGTGCCGCCTTGTTCTCTTATGATCTCATTCCTGATCTTATCTGTTATGGTCACTCCTACAGCCCTTCTCAGACATCTCATTTCCGACTTCGATATTTGCTGCTGAAAACCCGAATGAGACATAAGCCGTCTCCACCATTTAGGCTAGGAGCCGCCGTGTTGTAGCGTCCAGACGCTCGACTGCGGATCGGAAGATCGTGAGCGTCCTGACGATGCGGGAATATTTTTTTTTTCAAACATGACCTTGGTCCACCCTGTCTTGAATGGGTGCCATGCATAGTCCTGGAAAGTAAAGGCGACATAGTGCCTATTGGTCTATAAAATACAGGTGTTGCCCGGCTCTCTAGCGTATTTGGCTAAACCGGATTGCGCGGAGACCGGGTGAGGAACTCTTTGTGGTCCGGGTTCAATCCCGGGGGCAGGCAGGAAAGCCACATTTTCTCCCAGATTTACGG